TATCGACGGCGAAGACGAAAACCGAATAATCGACGGATTAATTATTTACTCGGTCCTACGTTTTTTTATGCGAGTTGCCTTGGCCACCTAGTGGCGCGGCAGCGAACTAGTGTTCGCTCGGATACTCCGAGTCTGGTTAGGGACTCTTGTCACAGATTTCACCAATATATCAGAAAGTTTTATTTATTATATTGCCCTGAAATATTGTGCAATATTTGACATAAAGACATCAACATTGCTGTCGCATTGAAATATTGGAATATTGTTGTAATGTTTTCGAAATATAGTGTGCTGTGTGGGCTGTATGTACATATAGAACAAATGTACAATAAAAACTTATGACGTGCAACACAGATTTCGAAGATAGCATGAATGTACGTTTCCACACGTGTTCACTAAGGTGTGTGTGGCATACTAAAGATTTTATTGTTCCTAAACCGTATAAAGACACACTTTGCTCCTAGATCGACGATATTAGGCCCTATAGTGTGCGTAGTATAATGAGATCTAACACGGTCTTTGTGCACTTTGTTATTGAAAAAAGATGAGTTCATTCGTAAGACCATAAACTGCTTTTTGCTGATATAACGTTTAACCCCTTGAGTGTCACTGACGCATATGTCAACATCTTTCGACATATGCGCATCATAAAAAGAAATATTTTAATTATTTCGTTTTTCGTGAAACTTGGTATCTTAAAGTTTTTGAGGTTGTTAAATGTGACGTCAAACAACTAAACAATTGTTTATAACCTGATTTATCTAATGGACTGATATCATTTGCAATAACAACGAAAAACATGACCCCCGAAAAAACCGAAAATTTTGAACCTTTTGATCCGAGTTATTGGATACAACAATTAAAATTTTGGGAATCTCAGATCACATTCTGATTCAACGAATTCAAAAACTTTAAGACACCAAATTTCATTAAAATTCAATAACCTTTCATTTTCACGACAGTCTTGGTCAGTTTCTTATATCTTAACGTGATACGCAAAACCAAATTACAATTTATTAAGGAGGTCCTGTCGGAACTACCTACTTGAATTTTCACGTCTGAAACATTTATAGGTTATAAACTAAACAATTCTGAACTGAATTGCAAAATTTGAAAGTCAGTCACCGTCGAAAATGTTAAGAAAAGTAATATTAAAAACGAAACTTTATATATGAACTCAAAGAACAGAGAGATTGAATTTCGACGTTGGATGAGAAACTAACATATTTAAAGTGAACTTTGAAGCAAAAAATGGTATACTACGGATTCGTGAATTCTTCAGGATTCGATAAATACCATAAAAAAGTGACCTTACCGGGTATTTCAAAGAGTAATTGCAAATCAAATTTGCGAGATTTTCATCGATTCACCGAGAGAGACCCAATAAAGAAATAAATAAAAGTCAAATGAGAATTTGATTTTTAAATATATTTGTACAAATGAGCCAAATTCACAAAGATAAACACCTACAAACAAATTTCTATACTTAATGTGAATAATTTCGTAGAAAGTCTGGTTTGTTTTAATCGATTTATGGAACTGATTCGATAGTTGATGAGCGGACTAGCATGCATCGACAGCACCTCCTTTATACTTTTTAGAGCAGTACATTGAAAGGAAAAAGAAAAACAAAAAATATCTGGGAGACAGGTTTGCGTTGAGGCACGACAGCTTGAGCTATTCTCGATCGCAGCTAATGTATTCATCGTTGGCAAATAAATTGATTTCACGAATATCAAGCTCTCAAACTAAATGTGCTCAATATTTACAAGTGTTATTGTTCTACCTACGTGTTCATGATTGTCCTGTTAATTTCAACCCCCATAAATTAAGTTTTTCACCCAAGGATATGGATACGCACATATGTTTTAGAATATTTGTGCATGTGCCATTTTGAAACCCATCGGCAAATATTGTAGTGGCATCGTTATTCGAAATGTAACTCTTTGCATTCGAGAGCCGACTCTCAATCGTCACTTGGTTTGATGTATCAACTCAAATAACAAGTAAGCGGCGGCAATGACTGACTGTTTTGTGAGTGACGTTCAAAGTCTTGATTGCAATATCAGCACAGGTAGATATCGGATACGTCTTTAGAAGATGGTAAATTCTATCGAAACAGCCCTGAAATGCTTGTTCTCACTAGCAGAAAAGGTGTTTTTTGAAAGCGAATGCATAAGGTACTCCTGCATATTCCACGCAGTCTGTAATAGTTAACTCTCGGAGTGTACACTGGATTCCACCAGACCCCACACCGCTGAGTTTTCGCTGTTTGAGGGCTCCCCTATAGGATAGGGAAAACTCGCGTTCAAGAACTCCCTGAACCTTGAAGGGTATAAGTTCAAAGTAGTCGAGAGGTCCAATAGACCCTAGTGTACAGTCCATTTTATAATGAAATTCATATACGCCCGTCAAATATTAGTAGGCTCATCGTGGCGCTGTCGTCAGGGATAACTCCCACGCTGCCTACGCACGAACCTACGTGCTTCGTCCCGGCGTCGGCAACGTCCCTTCCTCCTTAATACCGGATTCGCTGAGTAAATTTTTACTTTTTTCACACTGAACTACTTTGTAGTGTAATTGTAATAGAAGTAAGTCACTATAGTATATTACAGTGTTCAAATATATCTTTATATACTGATATAAATGTTATTGCAATACAAAGGAACTTGGGCTTCTTTTACAGTCTGTTCAACAACTGTAAGAAACCAGATGTTTATAGGACGAGTAGTATTAAACATCGCTAGATTCGGTTGCTCTTCATAACAAAAGTTAGTCGCCTGTTACACCTCGTGAGAACAAGTTCGATACAGACTGTAGAGCCAAAATAGAACTACAAGACATGTATAACATACTCCATGACATATGATCATTTCAATTAATAACATTTTAATATTATTGGGTTTTCTTTGTAAATTTCTCTATATAGACGACTATTTTATGCTCTAATGCACATCGACGAACTTATTGACATTTGGAGATTATCCTGGCCTTATGAGGGAACAATTTGATAAAAAGAGCTTCCAACTATCGTCGTGTTACGGCTGACTAGCATCCTTAAACTGCGATACATGGAATATTTATGGCGAAATAATTATTGGTAAAGTATGGGTGATGCGAGAGATGTATGGGTTATGCGAGAAGTACTATAAATGAATCTCGGTATAAGAAATTAACTGTGTATAATTTCATTGAAAAACGTTTAATCTTGTTTTAACGCTGGTATTGTCAGGAACAAACCAAAGTAACAAAAAATATGAATATTAAAAGAATAAATTCATTACACAACAAAGGACAATCGATTTTTCCTAAAGTTTTAAAGATTTTATTTTGTTTCTTTTTTGATATGAATGTACTTTCAAGAACCTACACAGCGGACTTATTTAATATATTGTCCAATCCCCATTGTCATCGAGGATGGCCTGGCATCTTCTCGGCATGCTCTCAACCAGTTTTTCTGTGTACTCTGTTGATAAGGAACGCCATATCTTCCTGATGTGTTGTAACGTGGCGTTACAGAGTTGGAGGGTATACCACCTAGGAATGACCGAGAAATAAATAAATAGGACTTATCAGGTCGGACAGTGGGTTCAATAGCACAGTGGTAAGTGCTCGACTTGGCAGTCCGAAGGTATCGGGTTCGAATCCCGATCAGAACTCCTAATTTTTCGGAAATTCCTAGCCCTCTAGTGCTCCCTGGCGGCTCTACGGATAAAAATTAATTATAGCGGAGACGAGCCGAGCCGGGCACCCCGTTATAGTGTTAAGACAACAGTTTCAAGTTGGCGACACGCTTTTCCGCCAGTTTTCTCTTTATTAAACTCTACACAATTTCAATGGGATTGGCATCTGAAAAATGTGCAAAACAATTCATTCTTTTGATGCCATTTTCCTCTTTTCAGACGGTTCAAAGACGGCTCCGATGGGTGGGGTCTTTTATCTTCTTGTAAGACCCAAGTATCATTTTTGCTTCCGAAAATCTTTCTAGCGGTCTTCAGAAGACCATGTTGATAAATTTTGAGCATTTTTTCTGCTGTCAAGTTCTTGGTAAAGAACTCTAAACAGCCGGAACCGCGCTATGGCATCAAAAGAATGATTATGAACCGCTATATACAGGGTGTTCGTTATGAAACGCACTGTAGTAACATCGTTGCATTCCTTGTCAAATTCTAATGAATACGTATATTTTCATTTTTTATTTCATATATCAAAATTTCTAGATAATCAAGGTTGAAGTTGCAGTAATGTGACCAATCAGAGCGCGTTTAAACGGAGCGTAGATAACGTCGCCAGTCAGTCCGCAAGACCTGCTTACACTAGGCCAATAACACTAAGAGTATCATCGTAGAGTCCCTGGTTATCTGCATGAGATGCAACCGCTCGCTGTAACGTCAGTGAATCTATGATAATGATTATTCTGACACAGTAAATATTGTAGAGTACGTAACATTTTTATCAGGATGTCGCCGATTAGGGTACCTAATTGCATATTCTTGCACTGTTTGTGTTTGATTTCCATTACATTGGGCTAACACCCAATACATGTCGCAATATTCTCTCACAGAATAATCACTCGTAATGCGAACTGACTGTGTCCGCAATGTGAAGTGAAATAAGTTGTAATTTGTAAACAAGTCATTCGACCGCAGTAGACTTATTACTGTTTACAAATTACAATCTATTTCGCTTCATATTGCGGAGACAGTCAGTTCGTTTTATGTTGTTTAGACTACAAGATCGTATTACGAGTGATTATTCTGTGAGAGAATATTGCGACATGTATTGGGTGTTAGCCCAATGTAATGGAAATCAAACACAAACAGTGCAAGAATATGCAATTAGGTACCCTAATCGGCGACATCCTGATAAAAATGTTATGTACTCTACAATATTTATTGTTTCAGAATAATCATTATCATAGAAAATGTATGTAATTGTTGCAGATTAGCATGTCCAGATCCAAGCTCGGTCATGCGTAGATCAAAGTCGGTCCTTTTCAGGACCACTCAAAACGTAATACGTTGCTACGACTATCTTGTCACATTAAAGGAATAGACATTATAAAGAATAAAGGGTACCTTCTGAAATTCACTGACATTACAGCGAGCGATTGTATCTTACTCAATTACATGCAGATAAACAGGGACACTACGACGATACTCTTAGTGTTATTGGCCTAGTGTAAGCAGGTCTTGCGGGCTGACTCGCGACGTCATCTACGCTCCGTTTAAACGCGCTCTGATTGGTCGCATTACTGCAACTTCAACCTTGGTTATCTAGAAATTTTGATATATGAAATAAAAAATGAAAATATACGTATTCATTAGAATTTGACAAAGAATGCAACGATGTTACTACAGTGCGTTTCATAACGAACACCCTGTATAAGAAAAAGTTATTGACACATTCACTATAGGAATTGAGAGTTCTGAATCTATAGCCACCAAGATCAATACGATTAGTGTACGAAATGAGGGCGTATTGAGATGGCGAGCGAGATGATTTTATTTCAGTTCCATCATCGTCGTCGCCGTCGTCTTCGAACGTCCATTTAAATTTCTACGTAACAGATGACGCTGAGATGACGCTAAGATACGTGGTTAAATCTTATGGCGTACAGCCAAGGCGACGAAACAAGACATATAACTAAATTTCATTAATGGTGTCCTGCTTGTGGATGCCGGGCGGTGAGGTATGAGAGGAGAATTAACGGTGACTGTTTACGTACCTCAGCCCGTGCGTGCAACGGACAAAGCACTATAGTCTGAGCGAAAAGCCAAACCTTAAGAAAGCCATGGTAGAGGAAGAAAGATATGTTCAGTTCATAAACACGTTTTCGACCACTTCTTCACAGCCCGAAGATTCTGCCATTTCTCGAAATGGCGGTGTTCTATGTTTTGTAACGTATCTTTTTTCTTAACTCGACACCAATAGCGAAAAATCCGAGAACGAAAAATTTCGAGAACCAACCTACGCTATATTATGCCAATCTTCAAACTCAAAACCAACGTCAAATTTTTATATAGAGCATATTAGCAATAACTCGTCAAAAATAATCACAGTAAAAGTCTAATAACAAACATATAGTCTTAGAATACTATTAGTACGTTGAAAGTAAGTACTTTGGAATTTGTGGTACGGACTCGCCAAGTTTCAGTGTTTCTAAAGCCAATCGAAACAAGCTCATTTCACACAAATCATCACAATTTACGCATGCGATAATAGTTCCCTGTACCATTATCCTTAAATAACCTTATATCTGACTGGCTACCGACACTGAAACTTGGTTTCAATACAGGTAATCATGAAAAATATAGTGCGTGACACGGGATAAAACACGATTTCAGATTTTGGATGATGTGAGCCTTTGCCCACAGCTCGGACAGCCAAGTTCACTTTCAAGTTCAGAAGTTTACAAATTCTCTTGGGTCATCCCTTGTCACTGAATATACTATTAAATAATGCAGTAAAAAATGATCAGCAATTTTCAAGATTTTCAATTTAAAAATTATCGTAGTAATGTTTGATGTAAAAGAAGTGTCTCCTAGAAATTTCATCAACTTTTACCGCATGTGAGCTGAGATATCTCGAAAAAAATTATTCTATTTTAACAGGCGAAGTATGTTCATATAGTGCATTTTTGACTAGTTTAATTGTTTAAAACTCTCCACCAACGTTGTCTTTTCTGGCACGGTTGGTGGTGTTGTTCCTTCCATAAAAAGGATTAAGAGAATTTGTATAATGTTTTCCTTTTAAATAACCCGTGAGATGCAACAAACTGTACACAGTTGTTTCTATTTCAGTGACTAGGAGAACAGAGTCACATGTCACCCAATGAAATATTGAAAATACTCCGAAAATTCTATGAAACATTATCGTTCACACGTATAAAAGGTTCTATGCGCAATAAAAATAAGTTATTAATGCCGTTACACAAATTAAACTTTGAAAAGAATCTTACCTATCTTGTTAATGCACACTGTTAAAGCGAGCCTTTCCTGTAAGGCGTGTTTTAGTAATCTTTCAGTGTTTAGCATCACACCTTCAGCAGCATCCACTATCAAGACTGCACCATCAGACATTCGGATGCCAGCCGTAGCTTCATCAGAAAAGTTCACGTGTCCTGGAGTGTCGAATATATTTAGTAAGTACGATTTAGATTTCACATCTTGCAAAAGTAGTGTAACTGGGGTTGCTTTCGTAGATACGCCTCGTTGTTGCTCTGTGAATAAAGTGTCTGTATATCTGAAATTAATTAATACCAATGTTAACTTGAGTTGGGAAAGCATTTCATGTCAAAGGTAATGAGAATCTCGGATAGTAATCTGAACTTCCCAGTTACGTAAATACCAAATATTAATTAAGGATTATTTTACTTAAGGTAGTTCGGCAGAAAATTCTCTCACGCTTGACTTCCTATCTTTTTTAGATTCAATCGAAAGAATTCAGGCTTCTTCTCTTTTATGTCAAATGAAAATGTCTTGTACCGTCTGATTTATAAGATATTAACTAATAAAGGTAGCAAAATTTAAGTAGAGGGGGGGGGGATGCTTGAATGTAGCCGGTTAACTCTACTTCTTGTAATAATCAGAAACTTGATTTATGTAATAAAAACTGTTAATGAAAAGATTCAAATCTAAAGCGCTGACTGAAAAAAAATGAAACAGTATTTGCTGTACGGTTATGGAGAAAAAACGTGTCGAAAATAATCATGTGGCGTCTGTCTCTGTCTTCATTGGAATGTTCTCTGTTGGATGACATCGGTAGGGAAAAATATAGCGACGTAATAATATTGTGCGAAAAATTTTTCAAACTTTAAACATCGCTTTCAATTTGTGTTACAGGCGTTTCTTCACAAAACATCTGCCAGTACGTTGTTTATACATTTTTTCACTTGTAACAACTTGATTTGGCTAAATTATACACTTGATACTAATAAGTTATTAGAATCAAGTGTAACAGTTATTAGTAATAACTTCTAGTAACCACGGACTGTTCAAAAGATGGTAATATATATTTACAGATGGTAATATATACAATTAATACTGGTCAAACGTCGATAATTATTATATGCAATTATTAAACTAATATGTTTGCTACATTTTTTAATTTTTTGTTTAGATTTAAAACAAATTATATATAAGATGGTTGGCGCAGTAACTGTCATGTTTACGTTTTAAGAGATCATTCTAGTGTATAATTAAAAAAAGATGTTTTTTTTTCACATTTTTCGAAAGTATATTGTAACGTTCCGACCTTAAACCCCCCTATCCTTTATCCTTTTTCCTTCTTTGCAACTTTTTTTTCTTTTACAAATCGAAAAGGTTTTTTTGATGACATTTTATTATTGTCTTACATGATGAAAATTGAATAAATTATATTAATAAATATATAATTATATATAAAAACTTTATATACAGGGTGTTCGTTATGAAACGCACTGTAGTAACACCGTTGCATTCCTTGTCAAATTCTAAGAAATACGTTGTAACGTTCCGACCTTATACCCCCCTGTCCTTTATCCTTTGTCCTTCCCAATCATCCATTCTCGATGATGGATACGTCAAGAGCCCCACATAAGAGTGCATAGCGCACTGTGGATGTGCATAACAGTATCTGAAAGAACTCCTCAAATCCTAGAATTCCTTAATAATCCTATCGACCTCTCAAAGCGACGCCGATAAAGGAAAAAGAATATAGAACCTTTAATTCTCTAATATTGCATAATTCCCTTGAATCTAGTCACAGCGACAGTCATGAGGATATAATATTAGAAATTATTACCTTTAACATTCCTAGAATCCTAAAGACAGTCTACAGACTGAAATCAAAACAAACAAGTGCCCAGACGGTATAAGCCGCCACGCGCCAAATACAATAGAAATACCAGTAAGCCGGTATTTGAAGAAACCGGTAATCCAATTAATCAAATCAAATAATCAAATCAAA